TAGTTTCACAGAATCACAGAATCACAGACTGGTTGAGGCTGGAAGCGACTTCTGGAGGTCATCTGCTCTGAATCTCCTGCTCAATCTGGCCACCCAGACCTGATTGCTGAGAGCTGTGTCCAGATGGCTTTTAAATATCTCCAAGGATGGAGACTCCACAACCTCTCTGGGCAACCTGTGCCAGTCCTCAGTGACCCTCACAGTAGAAAAGTGTTTCCTGATGTTCAGAAGGAATCTCCTGTGTTTCAGTGTGTGCCCATGGCCTCTGCCTCTGGCACTGGGCACCACTGAAAATATCTGGCTCCATGGTCTTTGCACCCTCCCTTCAGATATTTATACACATTAGTAAGATCCCCTTTGAGCCTTCCTTCTCCAGGCTGAATAGTCTCAGCTGTCTCAACCTTTCCTCATAGAAGAGGTGCTCCAGTCCCTTCTTCATCTTGGGGGCTGTTCATTGGACTCTCTCCAGTATGTCCATGTCTGTTTTGGACTGAGGAACCCAGAAATGGACACAGTACTGCAGGTTTGGGCTCGTGAGCACTGAATAGAGGGGAAGGATTACTTCCTTCATCCTGCTGGCAATACTTGATCTAATGCAGCCTAAGATATCTTCAGGATAGCTTTCTTTGCAGCAAAGACACATTGCTGTCTTATCTTCAACTTGGTGTCCACCAGGACCCCAGGTCCTTTTCTGCCAAGCTATTTTCAACTGGGTGGCCCCCAGCATATATTCTGGCATGGGTTTGTTCCTCCCCAGGTGCAGGACTTTGCACTTCCCCTTGTTGAACCTCATGAAGTTCCTGTCAGTCCATCTCACCAGCCCGTCAAGGTCCCTTTGGATGGCAGCACAACCCCCTGGTGTATCAGCCACTCTTCCCGGTTTGGTGTCATCTGCAAGCTTGCTGAAGGTAACCTATATCTTAAAGCTTCCTGATTTCCAGGGAAGAAACAGGATGCCTTCTCCTCTTCTTTTCCCATCTGGAGATCATAAAAGACCAGCCCTGCTGCTCTCTGCTATCAGGCACTAACTGCCGTCCTTCCACAAACCAACATGCAAAGCTGTGCTGCAGCTGCAGGTGAACACGTATGTTTGTCTGTGCGCAGGTCTGTGTGTAACCAAAATACTTGTCGGGGAGCAGCGAGGCCAGGCTGTTCCACCAGGGAAGTCTGGCTTCGCAGCAATGAGGCAGCTCAAGTTTGAGTGCTGCCTCAACACAGGCTTAAACCAGGAAGGCAGGTCAGCAAGGTATAGTGTCAGGATCAAAGCTGGCAAATAGCTCAAGCAAGGACCAGGGAAAAGAAATTAAGCTGAAAAGCAGCTCTCAAGTGATGTTTGGGAGAGTTCTGCTTATCATAGCTCTTTCTCATGCAGCTCAAGGCCACGTAGCAGCTCCATGCGGATCTTGGCTTTGAAAACAGACAGCTAAACCTCTGTAAGGGGTGGGGTGAGCACAGGACATTCCCTGTATGTCTCCTGAGAGATGACCCTTGGAGTTAAGGGTCCCATGGCTTGGGCTTTCCCTAGGAGGGATGTTCATCTTTGTCAAGACAGGAAGTAACTGTATCTCTGTGCTGCACTTGATGATATGTATGAGTCTGCTTTTTGAGTAAGGCACACAATTAAAACCTCTTCTGAGCCTTCTGCTCCATGACTCCATCACTGGGTAGATTTTTGCTGCCAGTTGATCTCCCTGCAGACAAAACTGCAAACACTTATTTAATGTGGTGCCTTTTGGAAAAATAGTTCAGCACAGAGCCATCTTCATAGCAAGTGAGAGCTGGACTAAGTTACCCAGTGAAACGTGATGGAAGCAAATGCCAACAGATGGCTAGCATCTCTGCCAAGTGCTGCATACCCAGCTGGAAAGCTGGCAATGGCTGAGGGTGGCCTCCTTGGAAAGAGAAGTCTTCACCAGAACAACCAGTCACTTCTTATGAATGCACGTGTTCACAGATACACACACGTATTTACCCACAGGTGGATCACAATCATGGAGACATTTTAAGAAAGGGCGAGATCAGCCTGTTGGCGGAAAGCAGCCAGTCTAGCCTCAGGTTGTCTCCATCTAGGTGGAGAGGAGAAGACACCCTGCTCAATACCTGATCCATGGGACCCCTTCAAGATGTCACCTTGAGGGGGAACTGGACAGTCAGCCTGGAAGATCTATTTCCCTCTAAGGTCTAGAAAGGTCTCCTTGGGGGTTGCTCATGGGATCAGCCCAAGTACTGATGAGGGTAAGGGATGTCTCTCCCTGCTGTGTGGTGGGATGGGGCATGGAGCATCACAGCTCCCATCAGGGCCTCCAACAAGGAGGGTTACAGTGTGCTGGAGCAAGATGAGTAGAAGCCTGGGGCCTCCAGGATGGCTAGTGCCAACACAAGAGGCACACTGCTCAGCACAGACCTCCATAACCATCTGCTGCTGCTGGAGCCTGTGGCCACCAGGGACAAGGACCAGGACAGGGGTGAATTCTGGCCATTTTTAGCAAGGAATATCCTGTATACTGAGGCCAGAATTTTTGTCAAGGTACATGTCAAGGCTTGAAAAGCATCAATAAAAAATTTCAGTTTTGAATTGTAGAGGAACGTCAACAGTTTGTGGCCAGCTACCCACTAACACCTACCGTGTTGAGAAGTAACGATGTTTCCTGTCCTTCACTTCCATGGTGTGCACTTCATTCCCAGATATAACCATAGAAGGTTACATTGCCAAGTGGTGCCACTTGAAGGAATATTAAGCATTTGGGAAAGTTCAGGCAGAACTGCAGGAGGTAAGAGAGGGGCTGAGACAAGAAGAAATATTTCAGTGCCAAATATTATGTGACTTGTGAAGTATGTATACCACATCTTCCATAATATATACTGCCTGAAACTCATTTGGGGGATTCAGTTCCTCTGAATTAATTTGGGTGACAACAGGTGCAGTGGTGGCTAGACTCCCATCACAGTCCACAGAGTCAGGAAAACCAACAGTCTGGTGAGGATGGCTTCAGTTGCTTGAACGTTGGCAGTAGTGCCATTTCTAGCGCTGTGTGATATTCTGTCTGGTCTCCATGTGCTGCTGTGGAATGGTCAAGACCTTGTGCAAGTCCTGTCTGTTACAGGACTGTAAAAATTAAAATCAGTAATTTAAAATGTCATAGATCTTCTAACGACCTTCTCTGTTTAGTTCATTAACACCATTGAACATAATGGTGTTACATTATGTATGTAATGGTAGAATTACACTAAAATACTGTTTAGTGTAAGAAAACCTACAAGAAACAGCGGGCTAGGTCTTACATTTTCATAATGTATTTATTTGGGCTAAAATTGAATATCATAGAATATAATTATCCTGCTTATATGCTGGTTAAGGAATAGCTCAACAGCTGTGTTCTTTGTAAGCTAATTCCTTTGTACACTTACATTTCTCAGCAAAACTTAGGACTTCCGTCATGACAACTGGAAACACCCTAATGTTTTCTAGGCACAGATTTTTACTGCCTTGTCTCTGTTCTGGTGTCTTTTTTCCCCTCCTAATACAGAATGCTGGACTTGCTTTCAACTGTAAGACTCCTATGCATTCTCTTTGCTTTTCTCTTAGCAGTGTCAGATAGAGAGTGAGTCTACAGCCTACACCAAAGAGAAAAAAAAAAGAAATAAACACTCAGAGGCATTTTTCTAAAATCTGCCCAATAAGTTTGGAACTGCTTTTTGTGGGTGGATGTAATCTAGCTGCTCTAAATGCACTGAGAAGAGGCCTGAAGCATGAGATGTTGCCTGAATACATGGCCATGTTGCACGTTGGATGCCTCCTCTAGATACCAGACCCAGAGCTGGGGGACAACAGTACCCTCTCAGCCCCCTTTGATGTGTGAGCAAGCCCTGCCAACGGTGCCACTGCACGACAGGGCCAGGCTGTCAGCTAGCATCAGGCAGAGGGTCTACAGCTTTCCCAGGCATGCATTCCCCCAAACACCCATTTTCCAAAGACTTTGAGCTATGTTAACTATCACCATGTCTTGAGTATAGGAAATCATGCCACAGAGGATTAGAAGTTGGATGGGACGCCTGAGGATAATTTTGCTCCCTCCTAAGGCATGCAAAGAAATGGTCATAGGACATATAAATGCTGCAATTTTGGCAGGCAAACAAAATCCCCTCCTGAACAATATTTCAGAAATGTACGTAAACCCAACAGATAACTGAGAGGAGTGTGCCATATGGTGGAGGGAGAGGGAGAGCAGCTAATGAAGAGGGACCAGTAGAAGCTGTTCTCCACCTATTATCTTTTATACATGCTTTCAGAGGGACAGGTGGGAAAAAAAGAGCAAAATTTACATCACGGCTGTGAAATTACAGGTCAAACAACTTCTAGAAAGAAAGGAACTGGCATAAATTGTTGCACTATTAAAAAAAAAAAAAATAGACTTACATCTTTCCCAGGATGCTTATGGGCATCTTCCAGAAGCCAGAACATTGAGTCTTAGATGCTGATGTTTCAACAGATGGTGGGTGTCTGGGTTTTTAGCTATTTCTATTTCTCTTTCCCCAAGAAAAGATTTCTGCATAGTAAAAAACCCAGGATTTTGGCATCTGAACATATTCCCACAAAGGGAAGCTGAGTTCTTCCAGCCACCCTACCTCTTGGTACTGGAGGGTAAGGGCTTCAGTCCATGTCTGTCCAGCCCTGGACAGCTGTATGTCTCAGAAAAATGTAAATTAAGGAGCAGTTGGCACTGTAAATTCTTGCCCTCTGGGGTTTGTGTGTCAAACCCCAAGTAGGATCATGACCCTCAGCCCATGCAGCAGACACCCATGTTTCAGTGATGTGAATGCTAAGCAACAACAATTTATTGAAAAGGAGGGGAAGCAATGCAGAATACATTTGGATTTACTCTACATAACAAAGATTTTTGCATTAAAAATGAAAGATGCATGAGGCTTTGTAGCAGAATCCGGTGGTTTTAGCAGTAAGGGCATTCAAAGCAAATTCCTAGGTTTAGAAGACATTTTCATCACTCTTGAATGGACAGTCCATGAAGTTTTTCTACATACCATGGCCTGCACAAAAGAAAAAAAAAAGATTCAGATTCCTTTCTGCTTGTATTCCCTCCCTACTTACTCTCAGTCCATGCATATTCTCCTCTTGGCTATAAATACTTTCCAAAATACCTAATGTCATGTGTAGTCATGCTGGGACAGCCCTGTGCACTCATACCTGTAAGCAAGAAGAGTGTTTTCCTATTGCTTCAGGAAAAGCAGGGAATTAAATTGATATCCCTCGATATCGGGGTGAATGCATTCATTCCTGAGTGAAAATAGAAGGCTACCTGTCACACAATAATTTCTTCTTACAACACTGTTGCACTTCTTGCCCACATTTGATGTCACTCGGACATCTGTGTTCACTCTGCAGCGTAACTGAATTCCCCTCTGCTCCCCATAGCGCACAGCAGCCCGGTTCTGCAAATACCAAACCCCAATATTTTGTTCTGGCATAGGGGCTGTAAAAGGATCAAACAGAGATGGGACAGCACAAGGCTGACATCTCCGACCGTGCTTTATCCTTCTTCCTGGGGCAGATCATGGTGCACATCTCAGGAGAAAGAGCACCATAGAGCTCAACCCACTTCAACGCTTGACCACCCTCATGGCATAATAGGTTTTTTTCCTTATATCCAGTCAGAAGATTCAATAGCACCTTGGGGTTAAGGTCACAGGAAAAATAGATTTGTCTGCTCATACTGCAGATAAGCCTTGGTGAATGTCAAACTCACGATTTGCAGCAGGAGCGGAACCCAAAGCAACTTCCAACTCTAATCAGGTGGATGGGACACCTTCCAAAGTGACAGGACCCTTTTCTACAGAGAAACATTTCCCGCCGGGGTGAAGACAAACCTGGAACAATAACAAAAATTACCTTCCATCTCATTCTGCAGGGCAGAATACGGTCATAATGCCAGCGAGGTTTTCCCATTCACTGAGCTGCCTTCACCACCAACTTGCCTTAAGGACTGTTGCCCAGATTTGGCCGTGTTGAAAGGCCATGTAAGAGGTGAGATTGCAAAGCAGGTCTACACCTTGCAGAGATGGGGTCCTTAGCTCACAGTGCATCTAACTGGATGGTCTTAAAATCCAGATGGAGAATGATACAGATCTCCTGACTCATTTTCCTTTACCTTATGGAAAAGGGTCACGGGTCCGGAGGATTTAATACAGATTCCTATCCAAAATGGCCAGGCTTCATTTTCATCTACATAAGCACTGCTGAGTGTGCTGTTGTCCAAAGATCATGGCCACCGCAGACACCAGCTCAAGTGTCTAACACCAGAGCGTTTAGCACTAACTCTTCAGGAAGACACCAGAAGTGAAAAATCACTTTTCTTCAGAAGTCATAATTTCTCCACCTTTGAAAGAATTTTCATAGGGAAGCACAGGCACTGATCTATTCGACTAATTCCTGCTTGGTTTCTAGCAACTTTAACCAGTAGTGGTTAAAATGTGCTGGGAAATTTGCTTCAGGTGCACAAAAATCCCCTTCTAGCATCTCTTTTCCATCTTACCTGGAGAAACCTGGAGTGCCAAGAAGAGGAGAGAAAAGAGCAGGTAAAGGATCTTCATGACTGCAGATTTGCTGGGTCA